TTATATACAATGTGAACTGTTATTTTAAATGTTAAGAAATACTGTGATATGGTAAAAGTGAAAGTAATGCCAAAAATTTTAAACTTATTCGTGTGACTGTAAAAAGACCAAATTATGGTGAATATGTGTTAAAGATTGAATGAATGTAGTTAGGCTCTCTGACGCTACACTTCAGAGTTAGCCACTTTCAGAATAGTACCTCAGGGTTTAGAGTTGAAGATAGGGTGTGTTAAGAGGTCTTGTCATGTTGAATTTTAACACGTTAGTGTTTTGATTGTAGGAGGCAGTGTTGAACACGTATACATAAACACATTCGTGTTTGGTGTTCTTTTACAACACATGTCAGAGAGCACGGGGAGAGATAATTAAAATAGTCATGAATGAAATAAGAATGTTAAGAGAAATATAAATATGCATGTTACTTGCCATTTCATTGTGTAACATTTCATTAAACTAGTTTTTCCTTCCAGATCTCTGGAAGGAACCAGATTTGAATAAAAGCTCCTGTTTAGATGCAGTACAGATGAAAAATTGGGTGTCCATGGAGCTGCTATTGTAAAAACAAATTTTTTTTTTTTAATTTCTAGTTTCTAGTAAGAAATGTTTGTAAAAGATTGGCCTCGCGTTAGATTCTAGAGCTAAAAGTTTTCAACAAGGTCGTTTTAGACCTCAGTTTCAAACTAATTAACTCTGGCGGGAAGTATGTAAGGATCTTAAGTTTTATTAACGTTTATTTTATTTTAAATCTTTACTATCACTTCTTATTTTCTACTTCTGGCCAAAATTAAAAGCGTTAACTTATTTATGCAAAATTTGTCTGGCGAACGCCAAGTACTTAAGTTGTGGCCTTTTGCCAAGAGAGAGAGAGGAAGGAGTTAGTCGAAGCAGGCCGCTTACCTTAGAAGTTTTACTCAGTTGCTAGTTGCCTTCCAGGCCAGAGGTTTAATCCTCGTGATAATTTTAAACGTATTGTAGTGTTAACAGTTCTCTGTACTACATACGGCTTCCTGTTAATATCCGGCCAATCTTCCACGTTTATTATTCCAAAGTTAAGTTAGAGTTTAGTTAAATATTTTTATATTCTTACGTTAAGACCACAAGTAGTTGGTCTCTTTATTCCGAAGTACGGAAATTATTGTAAAGAGTGAAAAATAAAGGGTTTTGTATACCCTTCCTGTGTATCTTGTCTACTTTCCACATTTATTGAACATAGCTTTAGTCAGCTCCCTGTTCCGAGTCAGGTCTGTGCATGTTCCCAAAGAAAGTAAGACGGAACATTGAACCTGATAATATGTTCTGCTTAATGATGAGACTTAAAATGATTTTACTGGACTCAATGCTTGAGCTCACCGGTTGCATCTTTCACAAGTAGAATAAATTCTCAATCAAATGAATTTGTTTTAAAATTAAATTAAAATGTTTATGTTAAGCAAAGAAATGTAAATCATAAATTAGATTAACTTTAAAAATATAGTTAAAAAGTACTTACTATTCGATTTTTATGGTGAGAAGGCTAATAATATTTAACAAAATGCAGTGAAAAAAATAACAGTCTCGTAAATTAAAAGCAGAGCTTGAAGCATAAAATCATGAAGAAGGGCATTACATAACTAATGGGGAAAATACAAACCCACTCGAATTCGGCACGAAACGAACAATAATAGTGCTTGCTGAAACTGAAAATTGCTCTCTAATGTTGCATTTAATAATGTATGAGGTGGATTCAAATAAAGGTTTTATGAAATTCATCATACTTATTGATATTTAATACACAAATGGAAAATATTTATTTACACTGGGTGTTCAATTTTCCGTTATACGAAAGTGCACCACTAAAACAGAACAGAGGAATTAATTATGCGTGCTAGTTGAATGTTTTTGAAATTGCAATTTTTCTCTTCACTTCACACTGTATTTCGCGATATTCACGTAAGCTGCTATTTACAATGTTCTGTTCAATGACAGTATTGATACCAGACATCAATATCAGGAGTTTTATGAAAGTATAATATATTAATTGGTGTCTCTAAAAATACTCTACATTATACTCAGTAAAACAGCTTATAAATTGTAGAACTTGATTCTTTAAATAAAATTTTAACATGTAAGAAAGTGCAATCGCCTCTTGATGTAAGCAAGTTTGAACGCAAATTTTTTATTTTTTTATTTTTTCGCTGTAATAAAATCTCTTACGTTTAAGATCAGTTAAAAATGAGAAAACACTGATAATTTCTTGAAAAATTGTAAAAAAGTACTAATATCAACAGCTTCTATAATTTTATTATTTGATCAACTGACAGAATTTAAGTCTTTCTCGCATATTGTATGCACGTATAAAATCTTGTTACAAAATTTCTGCCTCAACTGATAACGAAATACAATACTCAACTGATAACGAATACTGATAACAATACTGTCATGCGACAGTAATCAGTTAAAAAGAACCTAGTGTGAAATGAGAATTTCTTATCACGTAAACTGGGTTATATATATATGTAAACAGATAATAATCAAGATGTAAAAATGAAATAAAAATTTTGTGGTTAATTTAACGCAAAGAACGTAGATCAAAACTGGGAAAAAAATATAAAAAAATAAAAAAATAAAAATAAAATAAAATAATATAAAATCTGAAATGTTTGAGATTTTAAATTACGTCCAAAGGGGCGTTTTTTAACATTTTGTGTGTTACCTTTCTTTATTAAATATCATGTTCCTCGCACTTAAACCATAAGATCCAGTGCAACAGCAATATCGCAAAATAGTTTTAAAACGAGCATATCTTTAGAATTTCCTTTCCGATACAGAGACTCACGCGCTGGAGATAAAAATGTTTTTTCTGCACTGCACAACGTTGCCATTGCTCGCTTTGAAATCCTTGAGTTTGTTAATCAAAAATTCGTCAAAGTTTTAAAAAATAGGAAATCGATCATAAAAAACAAATTTCAAATTTCAAATTTGGTCTTCCACATGCTCATATTCGTTGGAGGATTACGTTATTCAAAATTCGATGACTCTATGTACCGTTACCGTTTTTATGACAATGTGAGAAATATACATACATTTACGCAGATTTTCATTATTTAATTTCTTCAAATATAATGCAGGACTCTAACATTTTATGGCAACAGTTTGAAAAGTGAACCGACATTTATCCGTCCGACGCAAAATGCCAAAACGAAAGTAATAGTCCTTCGGGACTTAAGTCCCTCCCTTTGGACTAAAAAAAAAAAAAAAAAAAAAAAAAAAAAAAAAAAAAATCAATAAAATAACATAATAAAACAAATAGCTGAAATTTTTTTTATCCTTTTTCAATGAGCATTAAAAAAAGTTTCAGCGTAGCCGCGTTTCTGAATTACATCCGTATGATTATAAATACTTAATATAAATCAAAGTGCCAAATAAAAAGCAAATTAAACTAATTAAAATAAATTCATGAAAAATTTATGATAAAAATAAAGAATGCAATAAAGTAAAAAATTTAGTCTTTTTTAATAAATAATCAATATATAATATGCTTTATCATATATAGTGTAATGTAAGACAAATGTATTCTCTCCTTTCACTTCTAGTCCGGAGAAAGAAATTTTCAAACCGCGTCTTGATAGAAACCAGGAAAGTGTATCCAATATCGCTGGGGGTCTTGATTCTAACTACACTGCCGAAATTTCTGCCAAACCCGTTTTATTGAAGCACTTCATAACTGAAAGATAAATGAATGAACTACAAACAGTTTATTCGGATCTGAATAATCAGACTTTCCTCAGCTTGAGTTTTATAAGCGGCAGAGATGGAGTTTAATAAACGGCGGTTTCTCTATTGCTTAGAATATATTCCTTATATATATAGAGAGAGAGAGAAAGAGTAACAGACCTAGTTAGGGAAGGACAGAATATAATTTATCACAACTATTTGGATTTTGAAATTTAAGCTATTAGTCGTCTTGTATCCAAATGTTTCTGAATTACAGAATTAAACCCATTAAATGCAGAATTCGTGTTTAAATTTCTTTTTACACGTGTTTTCCAAAGTCACCAAACACAATAAAGCATTCCGAAAATTTGTATAAACAGATGAGCATTAAACATATTAGGGCAATCATGACTAGTTAAAAGACGGAAGGATGGCACAACTTTAGCTTAATGTCAGAATACACACACAAACATCAGAGTGAAGTAACTTAAGACAAGAACGAAAGTTTCAATTTTGTGCAAAAAAAAGGGGGATGGGCGGGTTTGAAATTCTTTCTTCTCTGAATTCTTACGTGAAAAACCAATCATTTCCTCTGTTTTAAATAGAGCTGGAATTTTCTTATAAAGTGAAAGTTAAGGAAAATATCAAACTTCAGTTTTACTGAAAGAGTTTTTACTTTCTTATATCCGAAACTTCTTACTTTCTTATAAATGGAAAATCGCTCTGTTTTAACATTTGTTCCTATCAAACTTTTATTTTTCTTTCGTATAGTCGAAACCTTTTTTATGTACGACTTTCTTACAATGGCAATCGATTGAAATAAGAACGCTGTGATTTCCCCTTCTTTAATTCTTTATTGTACGATTTGGACTTAGAAAAAAAAAAAAAAAAAGAATTATACGATTTCAAATGCATTAGGATTCTCGGTAGACTTTGACAAAATTTCTGTTATGATTTGGACATAGAAAATTTTTCAGATATGATTTCGGCTTTCAGAATTTTTCTCATATGATTTCAAAAGCTCCAGGGTTCTTTTAGGACTTTTTTAAAAAATAATTTTTTAATATGATTTCAAATGTTTCTTTGAATCTGGTTTCTTTAAACAGACATTTTTGGAAAATAGTGAAGCGATGTCGGTGATTTTCCAAGAATATATTCCTGAGCTTAATAAAACAGTGCTATACTGATCCTAAATCTTTGATGCTATAAAACATATCCATCGCATAAAAGAGTAAAATTACATTTTTTCAAAACGTACCGTAAAGCAAATATTTTATTTGGTTACACATTGCACATTTCTGACTTACCCTTCTTTTGCAAGAAAATGTCATCTATGGGCTCCTTATTCTTTCTGCGAATGATGAATTCTCCAGTCGTTCCGATAAGCACCAAAAGAGCTACAAATCCAGCTGCCGACCTGAAGACAGAAGAGGAATTTTTTTAAATTCATCAGTTAAATGTACATTTAAATGATAATGAACTGTAATTTTGAAAAATTTCGGCCTAAAGAAAATGTAAATGCACTAATTTTGTCGATTCATTTATCAGGAAATATCAACTGTTTTCGAAATTTTTTAACCCACGACTTGCTTGACTTCTTTATAAATCAAATAATTAAAAAATCAAACAAATCAAATAATAAACAATTTAAATTAACTATGCATACGTAATAAAATTTTTACATTTACAAGTTTTATACATATTTTTTTCATTGCTGATGAAAATTTTGTCTTAAAATTTATTAATAGAGAAGAAATTATGCTAATAGGATGTTGAATGCATTTCGAACGGTAGATGTCCTAAAGAATATACTTTTGTATTTATATGTCAAGTTATGCAACATTTCAAACAGTTTTTGCATATCTTCTAAATTTTAAACACTTCAGTGGATAATCATTTTTTCACAATACGTTGTAGCGATTTTAGCTGTAGCAATTATTATTGGTAGCGTAATTAAAAATAAGGTAAGTGTTAAATTTCACAAATTGAATTTTAAGTTAAGTTCAACTGCTTATCATAACAAAGTAGTTTGCTTAGCAAAGTAGTCCATTTCCAATAGGAAACGATAATCACTTGAGTTCAAACAACCAGAGGTAGCGGAGAAAAAGTCCGGCTACGCTTCTTTGAGGGTTTCTTTTTTCCGCTCTTGACAGAGCTTAGTAGCGACTCGGGACGAGCCGTAAAATACACAAGAGAGAAAGGGGCTCTCTCTAAAGCTTACTAGCGACTCGGGAAGAGCCGTAAAATACAAGAGAAAGGCTCTCTCTCTTCTCTACGCAACGACTGCGTATTCTTCAGACTAATAAAAAACTCTCTAATTATTTTCACTCACTGTTTTTATGTGTCCAGGTTTTCTGGGGGCGTGTCTTGTGCGTCTGCTGCAGTGATTCGCTAAACGTCTTTTTCTTTTTTCGGAGCATCTCTCCATTGGTTAACAGGCGATAATTTGTTCTCAGATACTGTCTTGACAGCCTGAGAAACTGAAATTTTCCGTGGGAAAATTCAGAACGTCTTTTTGAGAGGTCTATCTAAATTATTTCGAGAAACAGGCAGTTGGCGACACAGTCTATCGCATACACACAATGGACACTCCACAACCCGTGAGAACTTGTATGAAAGTTTTCTCCTTTCGTAAAAACAATATGCTTTCCGCACTTTGTTGGGGGTCACGTTCGACCTCAAGAATTCGTAAGTGTCATCAGGGTGGTCATCTGGCGCCCATTTGAAGTCTCCTTTTCCCAGACTTCGTGGGAGCCCGTGGGAAAATAGCTGACGACGTTATAACGTTATTCAACATTTTCAGAGTTAATCTTTTAATGATTTTCATAATTGGTTTATGAAATGCTACGTAATTTGAATGAGTGATTTTTTACACCACGTGAAGAAGTCCAGTAATATTAAAGAAACCGGTTTCCTGGCATATTCCTGATCAACTCAGTTTTCTAATGTAACTTTTACAAATTTCTTTATGTGAAGTTTGGTTTTACCAAATACGGTTTTTTAACCATGTTTCAGCAAAATACTTCACACTGCTGAATTTAAATGACAAATTACATAAATAATTAGAACAGATTTAAGATTACGGCATTTTGCATTAAACCAGATATGTAATCCAAGGTGATCTTATTGTTCCTTTATCAAATTTTTAAATGTTGACTCATGCTTAGGAATTGCAATTCTTAGCTTGACCTGCTCAACAGCGGCCGAGTGGTAAAGCCGATGAACATTTTTAGATCGACACGGGGGTTCAAATACCGGCGAACGGGCTGGCTGTGTGGGTGTTTTTGTTTTTTTCCCATTCGTAACCGTGGAGTCGAGCCAGTTTCCAATAAAAAAGCCCTCCAGGAAGGCAGCCTTTACATTAGCTAGTTAGCCTTCATATACTTTGCCGTAATCACATAAACCAAATATTTATTCTATATATATATTTGTTTCTGAAGACAGTCACTGTTAGAAATCCTTCCTCACGTATGTGCAAAGACAAACTGTTACAGCCGACACTGTGAAAAGAATGCCCCAAAGCTCTATTTCTGATATCCCAACTGAAGTAAATTTCGTTCTTGAAGTCTAAAAGACTATACTAACTCTGATATCAAATGGAATCTGGTGAAATAGTAAAACATTGTTTTTGCTGTGTAAGTGCTGATGAAAAGCTTGGCCTTACAAGGGAACATTTGGTACTGCACGTATTGCTGTTTCATCTGAAAGTATTTGCCAAATTGAAGAGACAGAATAAATATCCGATGAACATGCTCATGCATGAACTTCTAGAGGCTCATTAAAAATTGGAATTACATAGTTCCTTTCAAAAATACATGTAACGAAGGAAAGCGGTCATTTAACTCTTCCTTTCAAATATTATTTAAGATTGAAGATTTTTCAACTAGCTGCATTCGTTGCCTTAAAACGACTGCAGCTTTCAAAGCTTAATCATATTAACGACTCTCCAAAGAACAACCGTACGTCTCTGAATGTAGGCTATGCATGTCTTTTCATATTAGATAGAAGTTAAATTGTTGGAAGAAATAACCTTATATCATCTAATTTCAAATTTAGTAACTTTTAACCAGATTTATAAGCTGTATTGAGATATTTCTTCATGATAACATCATTTGAAAATTTTGCATCTGTTTTAATATTGATAAGAATTATAATTTAAAATGTTTCTTCGATTTACGCCACAAAGTAAAACTTGAAAGCGTATCATAGCGATTCCATTTAGAATGTGCTGCCATCTATTGGCTAGCACTATTAGCCATCACTTTTAAATATTTCTATTTAACACGATTTCAGAATATCCTGTTATGACTTGAAAATAAAATCATAAGCACTCAAAGATAAGAGTATCATCACACATAGTTTTTGAGATTTTCAATTTACTCGGATTCATATATTATTTTAAGACGACTGAGAATATATACAATAACAATCCAGAATTATCGAAATACAGATAACAAAATATGTTAAAAGTATCCTCTTTAGATGGTATTTCATAGAATACATCTGGTTTAGTAATCCACATCTGGTTTCACAGATATGGTAATTCGATAATAAAAAAATTTAGGCTTCAAATGTTAACTTTGAAATATTTTTTTACAACTCGAAATTTATACGCATATAAAGAAACTTTTGTACCAAAGTCGTACTACAGATTTTTATCAGCAAAGATAAATCTCAAAATTATGTGCCCTAAACATTTATTTTTTCGCTTTAATATTTAATAAATTATTTCCAGTCACTTAAATATTTAATAAATTGAAACCAAATAGCATTTTAATATTGCATCTTCTTTCCTACTTTACTTAGACTAGGCCGGCGCTAGCCCTGCAAGAAAAAATATATATTCTCAAGATATGATAATATAATGGCTTCTGAAACCTTTAGTGGATTAGGAATAAAAAGTCATAGCAGATTTCCAACTATTCTCGTAAGGAGTTTCATGAGTACAATGTCGAAGAAGGTATAAAAAAATACAAATTAATGTTGAATGGTTGTGTCGCCATCTGTAGATAGAAACTTAAACTAAAGTACATTTTGATAATTTCCTCGCACTTCTTTTGAATAAGTTTCAGATAAGTCTAACAGTTTAAACTTTGGCTAAAAAAGTAGTTTGGTGCTGAATGTTTAATGACATTCTCTAGATTTTTAATTTGAAGATAGATAAATAAAAGTTTTTTTCCACCCCTTCAGGAGAATTAATTTTGCAACAAGAAATTTTCTACTTTTACGAAGTCTTTTAAAAAGGATTTCGTAAAAAACTTAAAGTTCATAAAAAAAGGGACTTACGCCGTCGTAATCCATAGAGTTTTATTTACTTCTAGTATACATTGACCTAAAGCTGGTTTTTTGAGTAATTTTAAATTTAGCATTGGAATGTTCTTATTTCTTTTAAATGTCTAAGAATGTTTGAAAGATAAGTACAAACAGCTCACAAGGATACTAAAAGTAATCTTTTCGTAATTTAGAAGAAAGTACTTAGATTTAGATACATCTGTAGATAATTTAATTAGAAATAGATAGTTAATAAGATTAGAAAATACGAGAAATTTCTTGTTTGCTCAAGGACAGTCTAATCTTAGGTAGAATTTATCTACGATGGTTGACTTTAATTCATTTATCAGCAATAAAAGTGTGATATGATTAGACAATGTCAAGCTGTATCTCACACTTCAGAAGCTCTAAAATTTAATATTAGTAGTAGCTATAATATTTAATACCAGAAAATTTAAAATAACACGGTACTTTGAATTTAGAGCGCTTTAAAGTAACAAATTCGACAACAAAGCGCAAGAAGAAATATTCGTAGGATACGATTTACGAAGCAAAGGATACAGGATTTATATAGGTGAAACGAAAATAATGGTAAGTAGAACTGTTAAATTTTCAGAAAACTTGCATATATCTGACAAACATTATATGAGGGACGCAGCCTGAACCTACTGGCAGACTTTACGTCGCCCTATGGCCTTTTTGCGGGCTTCGGCAGAGCAAGCTAGAAACAACACCTTCAACAAACAAACATAACACAACTAGAATACAAAATTAAAATTAAAATCCCTACTGCAAGCTTATCATGATTAATCTTCTCCATCATTTTCCTGGCAAATTTTTTCACTCTATTAAAATCATTTAAAATATCATATATATTAAAAACATCATTTTTCTGAAACTCATTTCTGATATCAGTAAAATATTTACATATTTCCACATAATTGCTTCGCAGTGCCCGGTTCTTTACAGATATCACAGAGGTCATACTCTTGTAGTTTAAACCTTTTCAAATAGAAAGGAAAACGGCCATGACCTGCAATCATTTGGTTAACGTCAATGTCTGAATAACATAACACTTTTTTAAGTTTAACAAATTTTATATAACTTTTATTTCGATCAAGACCTTTCCCACTCCTCCCTCCATTT